CGATCTATACGATCGATTTCCAAGCCTGATTCCAGCCTCCTCAAAGAATGTGGCCACTTTGGGGAATGCAGTTGAAGTTCATCAAGAGGCTGGAGACAGACAGTTTGGATGATTCCATGCTGAAAAACAGGTTGTTCCGATTGCCTCATGCTTCATCAGACTTTCATATGCGACCTATCGCGACAGATACACTGCGCATGACACGCATAATGACCAGTAGCCCGCTTACTTGGTGCCGTAAGATGCACTAAGTAAGCGGGCTACTGGTCATTCTTACGGTAGCGGGCTGGACAAAACCACCTCTGAAACCCGGTCAAGATTACGCTAAAGTCTGACCAATCTGGACCCTTATAATTTCCCCACTTCCTCATCCCATCCTTCCTCAGCCTCTTATTGGTAAAGGAAAGGCTGACCAAATAGCTGGTAAAGGCTGAGGAAGGCTAAGCTCTATGTTCCTTAGTCAAGGCAGAGGAAGGCCTAGGGTTGCGATGTAAATCGCTTACGGGCTCAAGCCTAGTTACCCCTGACAACACCTTCCCCTGTAAAGGTGCACGTGACTAAGATTGCAGCACCTCCTTTCCCATCGATAGCTTCCAGCTCTAGAAAGAAGAACAAGAAGAACAATGATCATATGACTACTGCAGTAGCTAGTGATTACCCCCTGCGAACCGACACCTAGCAAGGCTTAGGTCGGGCAAGGATCAGGATGGGCTTTTGAGAACACTGCATACTGCATTGATGCCAAGAAGAATACGTCAGTGGCTCCTGTTTTTTGCATTAAATAATTTTACAAAAGCTCAACTACCTCTAAAAGATCCACCAAGTCACGCCAGTGGCCTGAGGTTGGAGCGAATTCCACGTCCGTATTCCACGTCTATACTAACTACTTCACTCAAGCCCAGAACGGTATTATTTACCTATATAAGTATAAACACATCTGCACCTTCTGTCTAATTGTAATTCCCAGGCTGACATTCTTTTCATTTTAAAAGTCAAGGCGCTACAACTCTTCCGACAGATTATTGACCAGTGACCTTGGTTGTTGGGCAACTCAACGCTAGATCTCTCGACTTATTTTCTCCACGATGCTACTGTCAAACACGGCATTGCTTCTGCTGAGCGTCATGCAGCCGGCGCTTGGCCAAGCCACTGCCGGTTGCGGCAGCGAGGAGCTGATGTTCAAGCAGCTAACACCTGAGCAAGTGACGCTGGCTTACAATGTGAAAAGCACCGGATGCGATGCCGGTGTCAGGACCTGGGTCGGGGTCTGGGACGCGTACGCCCCGCTCCCGCTCATATCCAACTTTAAGGCATGGCAGTATTTGGAGGGCAACAAGGGAGAAGTCAACTTTAGCAAGACTGAACTAGGATCTGGTGTATGGAAAGCTGGGTTTTTCTGTGACGACGGGTGGAGAACACTTTTTGCTCTCTCAGGCAACTTTGAGCTCACCCCCAACGGAAGCGGCAACTCTTAGGTGGTGCGCATGAATAACCACCTGACTGGCAGAAAATAGCTGCATCATCTGCGCATATGTTCATGGATCTGTTCCTCATATATTCTCTTCTCATCAATCCTGTTATAGTGCTTATTTCAGCAGTGTGCAAAAGGTTATTTAAACTTATTTCTGGTAGCGGGACAGTGTGACGACACTGACAAGCCGTAGCAATCAACTAGATGTTTTAACCATCAGCTTATACTAGACGTTACGCAACTGTGTACGGGTAAGATTGGCGGAATTATTAGGTCAAATACTGATAAAGCCATCGAAAGAATAATGGCGATACAGCAAGAGTCAGATGGAACACAGACTCTTACTACCTTACTTGTAATCATCCCTGTAATGTGGAAATCCTTGCCACATGTGGACTCACATCCATTATGGATACATATCCATCCATACCACGGCCGCGATCTTAGTCATCATCCATATCCATTACACATCCCCGGATGTGTAGTGGTGTGTAGTGACTTTGAACCCTGGTCAAAGAGTGGCGATGGTGGCAGTTGTGGGATCGTAGCCCCAGTGTAGTCATCGTCTGTTGGCCCATTGGCGGTAGCAGCTGCGGTGGCCGTAGTGGCACGGCCTGGCGAGGGACTTGATGCGTTGAGAAGGCGGCATATGTCCATCTTGACACGCGTGGTGAAATCATGCATCAGTGGATGTCACGACTGTGTGGTGGGGATGACGGCTTCTATTTATGCGTAGAGAGAGATTGACGATCCTCGATTTAGCTGTTTACCTTTTCCTCATTCGGTTGCACTGGAATTGACTGTCGCAGGCTGATCGGACAGGATTGGGCTATGGTGATAGGAGGGGGGTGGGTGAGTCAAAGGTGAGATACATATCTGTGCAAATAGAGATTTGTATCTGTGCGAATAGTAATACTCTCGAAGAAATGGACACTGAGAGTCTGCAGGACAGACTTGAACTACTTGAACTGTGATGATACTCAACAGTCCAGGCCTGGCGGCCGCCTGGACTGGGGGGGCTTGTGTTAGATTTTCAGTGACTACAAAATATGAAGGCTGGCCAACCACCTGAATTTATTCAGGTGGTTGGGGAGTAAAGATAAAAAAGACCTCAATTCTTCAACTTAAACAAGAAGACGACAGACAACAATACATCACAATATTTTATCTCAATAATAGAGCCACCGTATTTCTGACACATGAGTTGCGTTAGGTGGGCTTCAGTTTCGGCTGTCTCATTGAAGCCAGATTCTTGCGGACGACTTGGCTCATTTATAAGCATCTTGGTTCTGTTGGTTGGCTTGACTGCAGCCCAGATATCTACCGGAATCTTGATTGTACTAAACGTTTTCCTGTCATCCCAATTCTCGATCCCCGTAAGGATGACTTCTGATTTTATAGGAGGCATTATTGCAATAGGACTTAGCTGTATATAACCCTAACCCTTATGGTTCCTAAAATAGTTCTGGCAGTGTAGTAGATATTACCCAGAGCGCGGCTCGGGGCTCATAACTGTCGCATTGTGCGGTTGCAATTCTTGTGTATTTCTGATTGTTATCTCTCTCAAAATACATGAAAAATTCCCCTCTTCTTATATTAGAAACCCCCGTTCCTGGACGGAGGTTTCCCACCCCAATATAACCCAAGTGAACAGCTTTATCCGACAGTTGCTGATACTTATAATGCCGCGAGGCGGCATTGTAAAAAGCAACGACTTGCCCCATTGTGATATTCTGATATCTGACAAGAAGCTTACTTAGCAATAAGTCTTATAGCATGACATACGGTGAATGCAAGGCTTGTCCGTTGTTAAAATCGCCCGGAACTGCCCTCATTTGAATCATTCTGTCGACATCTACCCCATGCCTCCGTAATTTGGCTCGCCTTTTTTCCCTTGCTTAGTCGCATTTTTGGTGTGTTTTCCGCTAAGACCGTTTACTCACCTGTTTTGAAACCAGACTTGGACCTGTCGAGGGCTCAACCCAGGGATTTCACGAGACAGCCGCTCTCTATGAGCTGCAGTAGGTTGCGGTTGTTTCAAAAATTCGTGCATCAAAAACCTCGTTTGTTCGTGTGTAAGCCTGACTAAAATCAGTATTTTACAACACTCTATAATCTTAATTTGTGGGCTCTTGTTCTAAGTGCTTGATTGTACCTAAATCTTTTCATCCTGCGGCAAGCCACAGGACGCGCTGCAAAAGCCTCTCCAACAGCTTGGCGGTGGCAATGAAAATTTCGATCAATGCCATTTGCCGCCTCTTCATCCACTTTGACACTGGTGTCCTGGCTGAATCTTTGTTCCTCATCGTCTTTTCTAGCCCGGCTCAAGTCGGTTCCAGGAGTCCGGTCAACTTGCAACCATGAGCTGTGAATATTGCTAGTTTCTGTCAGCTGGTAGTAAGAGAAAGCTTCTGGGCCCAAATTGTCATAACCGAAACTTCTCAGTAGCGCCGAGCCTCTGTCCGTGCTGCCGCATAATGAGGGTGCAGGTCTGCTTCGCCGTAGGTTTGAATTTCCGATGCTACTCACTAGGTCGTGCGCGAACTCTTTTCCTTTGAAACCTTGGCTTTGCACTTGGTCTCTAATAGATGTCTCAAACTTGCTTTTGCGCCTGTCTGGGCTGTTTCTTGTGTCCATAGATATCCACGGGTAAGCTTTAAGATGAAGGATATTCGAATATTGTCCTTGCCATTCTGGTTCTATTGGCGATGGCAGACTCTGCTTTCCAGACATGCCTAGACTCTGTGAAGATCTCGTAGCCTGCTGCGGTGATTGCTGGCCCGGTGGCTGTGATGGGTTGTATTGCAAGGCCTGGCTCTGAGCATCGAAAGAACTTTGTTTTGGTTTGATTCACACTGTATTCAGAATTGAATTGCAAGAATCGGGAACTGGTTTTCGGAGCAGATACCCCAATTTAGCCGAGTATTCACAGAATAGCGGTAGCAGTCAACAAAATTTAATTGTATTCTGTGGTAGGTCAGAGGATGGCCTCCAAGTCAGCTTGAACTGAAATGTGGGATATTTATGGTAGTAGCGAAGGGAAAGAACAAATGAGGCCGGATCGAGCGGCCGGACATGGATCAAGGATTAAGGAGAAAGATAGACCGAGCAGCATCCTAGAGTGAGACGCCCGGTGGATATATGATAGCGATGGATATCACGGGAGGATGTCATGGCTTCCTTGCAGTGAAAAACAGCTCAACCGTTTCAACTAGTGACGCTAGAGGCTGATACTGTCCGATAAACCTGCCTCTGTTGATTGAAACACGCAAGTGCTTTTTGCCACCAGAATGGCAAGTGGCAACAGTAATCGTCATGCTGCTGCCTGAAGGCAGCAGTGTTCTGGAAGTATTAAATATCTTGAGTCTCTTGGGTTTAGGAGGTCGAACAAAAAGAACAAGAATAATAATTTCGCGAAGAAGCTTATTTAACAATGAGTCTCATAACGTGACAGCAGGGTGGCGATCAACTCAACGTCAATCATGAGGTTGTCAACCTGGTTGATGTCAACCAACCCAACCAAACTCAACATAGCATATTCTCACTGGCCAACCAACTCAACATAATGACGACGTTGAGTTGATTACGTTGATTAGGTTGATAAAGCATCGCAAACGGCCTTCCCAAATTCTAGTGCCGGGTAGCTCAGCCCCACGCAGGATGAGTGCTAGCGCTCAGTAGGACATACCTCTATACACACGCAATATGCACATGAACCTAGGTACTATATAACGCACGCTAACGCGTTACCCGACGCGATGCAGGGCTCAGAACAAGACGTAGATGCACAAGTCATGTCAAGTGGTCTAGTAAAAATGCGCATAACCGATCCACTTGCTTGTTTTGCGGCCATGTGTTAGATTCTCAGTGGTTAGAAAATATGAAGGCTGGCCAACTACCTGAATAAGCTCGGGTGGTCAATTCAGGTGGTTGGGGAGTAAAGATAAAGGACCCCAATCCTTCCAACCAAATGAGGCATCGTGTATGTGTTAGATTTCACGATGCCCCACTTGATCCACTACCGGGGTTAGGTCGGTTATGGAGGTCAAAATTGATGATTGAATTCATTGGTGCTTGTATCTTCTGTGTGTTCTCGTCGGGCGGGGAGACTTTGTCTCCTCTGCCAGGGTGCACCGCCACACGCCACTATTGCTATAGCCGACTCTGTATTTTAGTGTTGGATTGGCGCTGGGGAGTGAATAATTAACGAGGTCTAGTCGATTAATGAAGACAAACTCTGGCTATTGCAATAGGTGCTGTGGCTGAAGCAAATATCAAGGGTTGGGCTGCAGCCCAACCCCGCTCCAAGAACAATCACACAACAACACAACAATAAATTCATAAGATTATGAATCGATTATTACATAACCCATCGTGAAGCTGAATAACCCCGGTGTATCTAACATTTAGCGCCGTTTTAATTGCACTCTCCCGCCAATCTAACAGTATGTCACAACATTGTACGTACCTCAGGTTATGTCTTAGAAAAAGTCTAATTAAAGTGGGGGCAGCCAAGCGTCAAGGAACAGGGACTGGGATACACGCCGGGGCCGCCATTTGGCCAACCGGACCTTTAGGATGACACCAATTACTCCCTTTCGGGTAGTTTTGACAAAAACGGAAAGGTGCCCTGTCACTTGACACAACAGCCATCTATGTGTCAGATTTTGTGGCGCTGAATCGCACTGTGTGCTACCACCTAGCATTCAGTATGCTGCTGCCTTGCAGGCATTCTCGCACGCAATTTCCCCTAATCGTGGCGTTTGC